CTGAAAATCCGGCCTAAGGTACCACAGGTTAGACACCCACATTTGCTAGTCAATCTAAAGTCTTGATCCTAGATTCCCACCCCCCAGTGGAGGAAGGACAAATCTGACCCATTTGCTTTTTGGATGGGTAATGTCTGTAACACTCACTTTCTGCTGTGCCTCTGCTCCATGATTGGGCATCCTGTGTCTGCAGTAGCCAGGACAGCATTTGGTGGGTTTGCCTTCCTGCCATTGCAAAGAGAAAGGAGCAGTTCCTGGCTTGTCTACACTGGCTGTAACCCTGTACATCCATAGTCCGTGGCTTTGCACCCCTCCTTTTCCCACTTCTCAGGATACAGAATCCTTGTTGAAGGCTTATTTCTGTGGGGGAGTTTTGCTAAAGCCTGCTTCCTTCTCCAACAGGCTCTCAAACACTTTCAGAAAACCTTCATTCTTCCAAATGAAGGCAGCCCTGTTGCGGAACAGTCAACTCAGACTGAAGAGCCAAATCAGGCAGAGCAGCAGCATTCAGAGAACAATGCAGGTAAATATGGTGGAGGCTCACTGTTGGCAAAGCAGCAAGGAAGCTTGGGACTGTGGAGATCCCTTAGGGGTTTATGAAAGATTAGATAGCCTAGATGGCAAAGACGCAAGACTAATTGTCTACACAGCAGCATGATTTCAGAATAACTAACGTTATTCTGTAATAACATAACCCACGTCTACACTTCAAGCAGCTATTTCAGCATAATGTCAAGCCGGAGGACTGCTTACTGTGACTCCTGTAACCCTCATTGTACGAGGAGTAAGGGAAGTCGAGGGAAGAGTGCTCTAACTCAGACTTCCTGCTGTGTAGGCAGCACCAAAAGTCGAAATAAGCTATTTCAACTTAAGATACACACTTGACATAGCTCAAGTAGTGTTGCTTATTTCGAGAGTAGCCCTGTGTAGACATGGCACTAGTGACTAAGCTTATCCTGTAAAGGCTCTTTCCAGCCTCCAGAGAACAGTAAGATTTGTCCTTTGCTGGATCTTTCCTTTATATTCGCACAATTTTGAAATAAACTGTGTTGTCTGACTGGACAGTCTGAACAAACCACTTCACTCTGAGCAACTATAACTGTAGAGGAGAAATGAACCAAAATGAAGCTTTGAGCTTTACTTTTTGCTCTTAAAGAAGATACTAATGTTTGGACTAGTATCACTCTTGAGATGCATGAAACAGACTGAGGAGGAACAAGAGGAGATTGCAGCCCTTCTCGTAGCTCCTCACTTACAGGCAGTGAGATGGGATGAGATCGGATTTCACTGTAGGTAATATGTAATCCCATACGAGGGTCCTATTAAACCAGTGGTCACCAGCCAGTAGATTGGGATCTACTTGTAGATCTTGGAACCTTTGACAGGTGATCCTGAGAGGTTTGGCTGGGAGGCTATCAAGTGCTGGCACTACTTCTGTCCCTCTCAGCACTACCGTGCTGCTCCTGCCCTCTGCCTTGGAGGTGCCTCTCACCCCGGGAGCCTCCTGCTTGCTGTGCAAGGCACAGGAAGAAGAGGAGAGGTAGATGTTGATGATGTCAGAATGCCCCTTCCTCCACCCTGTACCCCATCGCTACAGAGCAGAGTGGGGCAGGGATGGAGAGAGTTTGCTGGCTGCTTTGGGAGCGGTGCAGGGCCAGGGGAGCGGTGAGCCTGCCGTAGCCCCACTGCGTCACCACCCAGAAGCTGCCTGTGGTAAGTGGTTACCAGCTGGAGCTCACATTCCAAACCCTGGCTTCAATCCTTGCTGCACCCCAAATCCCTGCCTGATAAAAGCGAGTGAGCAGGGGTGGGGCCTCAGAGAAGGAGTGGGAAGGAGGCGGGGCAAGGATGTTTGGGTTTGAGGTAGGTCCTGGATTGCACTTAAGTGTTTTTTTGCTTAAAGAGGTTGGAGACCACTGTTTTACCCCGTATCGTAGGGGTGTGGGTGGAACATCCAGAATCATTTTATGGGCTGTCTATCATCGAAAATCTCCCACCCAGAAGGTGCTTGATCATACAAGGTGCATATTCTAAAATTATTCTTTGTGATGGTTAATGCAGAGATACAAAACTAGTGTGTATATAGCTAGCGTACCCCTGTGTTATGTCAGTATGTTTCTAACTAGCACAGCTCTTAGCAATTGTGTTCTCCAGTACACTTGTGAAGTTTGTTTTAGGAGCTATGACAACCTCTGGCATCTGAGCTCTGCTGCAGGAAATCTTTCATGTGAAGCTAACTGCTTTTTTCCCCTACAGAGAACCATTTGAAAAGGAGTGGCACTCCTCAGAGCTCTGGGAGCAAGGAGCAACCCCAGAACACTCAGCCTCTAGAACAGCCCTCAGGTATCCGGTATGTTCCCTTTTTGGACTCTGGCTGGGAGAGAGAAAAAGGAATAGACTAGTGATCTGGAATGACTGAGTTATTCTCTATCGAGTAACTTGGTTGAAGGCTTTGGTTTGATTGGCCAGAGAAGGTTTCAAATCCTCTTAAATCTCCCAGAATTTTGGGCTTCTAGATTTTCATCAGTTTAATATGAAATAGGGTCTCTTGAAAGGCTTGGTGAATTAAGCATAGATGGGACTAGAACGGGCAAAATATGGCCCAAGCACTGCATCTGGCTTGCTGTGATCCTATGAAGTGGTGTTTGGCAGGCTCCCGGCCTGCCATGTTCCATGCGTCTTTCGAAGTGACTGGCTGCCAGCGCTAGCCTGTGCTTCTCTGTGTGGCACACACCCGAAACTGGCCAATAAGAGCTGCCTGGGCTATGCTTGCAGCATACAGAGGCCCCCCACCCCTCTTCGTGCACTGCACGGAGACGTTCAGGCTGGGCCCGGCAACTGACTGCTTTGAGTGGAGTGTGGTAGGCAGTGAACCTGCCTGAAGTTCTTCCCCAACTCCCTGTCCCAGGTCACAACCCAAATCCTCTGCACATCTGCCCCTGGTCGCAACTCCCTCCCAGACCCTGAACCACCTCCACCAGGTCACAATGCTCTCCTGCAGCTAAAGCCCCTCCCAGACCCCACAACCTCTCCTGCATCCCATTCCCCTACCCCAAGCTCCTTTCTGCACCCATTCTCCATCCCAGACTCCAAACCTCCTCCATAGAAAATTGAGACTTTTGACCACTTACCAAATTCTTGAAGTGCCTCTCTTCTCTTCTCCCCCCTCCCCCCCCCAAACCAGTCTTGCCCACCCCTTTTCTAGAACCTAAGTTTCACTGTGTGCAGGTCACTTAATCAGCTTGTCTGCTTTCTGTTTTATGGATGGGGAGTTGTGCCCCTTGCCTCCCAAGGATACAATAAGAAACTGTGTTTGTAACTCTTTAAGTGCTGCTTGGAGAGGAGTAGTTGGGGACCTAAGGATGCTGCACAACAACTTCCTAGAATAGCTTGAACAAACTTTTACCCTAAATGCCTAAGTTGCTGATTCTAGCTGTGAGACTAGCATCTATTGAAGCTGGCTGGGGCTGGAGAATAAAACTGCGGTTGCTTAGTGAGAGAGCCTATCTTCGTTATCGTTTTGTAGACCAGTAATCCGTCATTCTTTATACCTCCTCCATGCCCTTTTTCTAGCATCTTCATTGCTGTGTGTTCTAAATAATTGGTGTATTCATGTAGATGCCACAGATCACTTGGTAGTGCTGTAGAAGCAGCTGAGACTGTATAAAATAAATTAAAGGCTGAGGGGAGGCCCGGACTACTTCTTGAGCTGCATCAATAAAGCAACCTTTACTCTTTAAGGAGACCGAGTTATAAACAAGCAGTGGGTGAGCTGTGTAATGGGCAGCAGCTAGAAGACTGTGACCTCTCCCCTTCATATAAGACCAAGACTCTAGCCTCACCCAGCCCTGTCAGCAAGGTGAGTAGGTGCCATGGCCCCAGGCCGCTCTCCCTCTTCTGGATTCTCTTTTGTGGCAGGTCTGATGCCCTGTGCTCTCCTTGTAGGTTGTGCGTCCATTCAAACAATTTCTACAGACGGTGCAGAAGAACCAGCTACTCCTGACACCAGGGCCCACAGGGCACAGTAGTGTCATGAAAAGCCTTATCAAACGCAACACTCCTACCCGACCAGATTCCAAGGTAAAGGTGATCACTTTCCTTAAGGGTGAGAAGGGAAGAGCAAATGTGTGGGAGTGGTGGGCAGAGTTGTCTGCTTTTAAGTTCTCACTGCAAATCTGCATTACAAGCTGTTCCTCATTTGGAATCTTTAAATGGTACCAAAGAGCAAACTTAAATCACAACTTGTCCCATTCCAAGATGCTGACGGAATGTTAGATCCAAAATCCAAACTCTTCTCTCAGTGGTCTTGGCAGAAAAGCTAAAAACTGAATGGGCCACGAAGATTAGTTTCCCCTTTGGTGTCTGGGGATGTTTGTTCCAGGGCAATACTCACTGGTGTTACAAGAGAACAATGCTCCCTGTCCCCGGCAAGGTGTGTACAGGTGTGCACTGCCAGGCTATTATCTGTATGAAATTGACTGCCTGTCATGTTCTAGCTTAACCCAGTGACCATTTCCTCCATGCCAAGTGCTGGGTTACGGGTGGTTTCCCGTAGCAGCTGTCTGTATAGCTGCTTAGTAGGTTTACTTTTGGGGAACTGCATGCACAGTATTTCTAGAATTTTGCAAATGTACTTGTCAAAATAACAAAATATGCCACTTTTAATTAGTTTGGCAATGGCATTTCAAAATTACCTGTTAGCCAATATGTCTAACAATACAGATGCACGCACAAATTCCTCTATTAGAGACCCCTAGTTCCTCCTTCTCTGCTAGAGCATAGTTGGGGGTCAAACAACACCTCGTCTCCCCGCCCCAACCCACACACTCACAGAAACTATCCTTCTAGAACCCAGGGATCCAGAGGGAAAAACAGCCTGATGCTGGGTCCCAGGCTTGCATGAAGTTTCCTGTGCATTTCCACTTTTTTCTTTTAAGATGTGCTAAGGGACTGCACCTGC